GGTGCGTGCGGCTGCGGCGGTGGCGGCAACGGTAGTGGCGGCGGTGGTGGTGGCGGTGGTGGAGGTGGAGGTGGCGGAAGTAATAGTAATACCAGTGGCAAACCCAGAAGAGCGCTGACAGCCTTCACCTATGAACAGCTGGTCAGGCTAGAGAACAAGTTCAAGACGACCAGATACCTGTCCGTGTGTGAACGTCTGAATCTGGCGCTTGAGCTGCAGCTGACTGAGACCCAGGTGAAAATCTGGTTCCAGAATCGGCGAACCAAATGGAAGAAGCAAAATCCTGGCCTGGACGTAAACAGCCCTACCGTGCCGACGACGCCACCGCATCCGTCGCCGTACGCACCCGCCTTCCTCTTCGCCGCGCATCCTCATCAGCACCCATTGCCACACTCGCATACGCATCCACATCCACATGCTCACGTACACCACCCGCCGCCGCCAGTGCCGCCGCCACCGCCCGGATACTACCACCCAGCGGCCCCACCTTACCCGCCGACCGGACCGACCTTCTTCGGCCATCATCTGTCGGCGACTCCTGCTGCGACTGCGTCAGGACCGCCGCCGACCTCTACGCCTTCCTCCACCGGCCTAGCTCTTTCGTCTCATCCGCATCCGCACACGCATCCGCACGCGTAGCGAATTCGGCGATGATACCCTGCATCAACGTCCTCGCCTTCGTAGTCCTCGGCAGGGAAACGGTGGGTTTGTGTGAGTACTTCTGGCCGTGGCAAGAAAAGTACCAGGAGCGCAGATTGCGCGCGTTCATATATATATAAAACAAAATTCTTAGACTCTTATTAGTATCATCTCCGAACGTGTTGCCGACAATTTGTTATTTTTTTCCTGATGATCATTCCTTCTGGTTATCGTGATTGTTTTTTTTTTTTTTATCAAATAGTATATATTTTCGTCGCTATATATAACAAGTGAAATTGACTATTTTGAAAATAACATAAGTTCATAATTCTTGCAGATACACGACTAAAAGAAAGATATATAAATCTTATTCCACTTGAAAGTAACATTTATAATTAAGGGATATAACGTTTGTGTTTGTTATTTGTATCTCAACAGTTTTAATTCCTGGACTTATGTTGTTTTCAAAGTACAAGTATGGAATACTGTTTTGGCATCAAGATAGTATTATATAATTTTTATGTGCTATATATAAGTTTAAAGAGAAAAATGTTGAAATCTAATTAAGTATTGAATTGGACATGGGTGTAATGTTTTCGTTTGTTGGATCGGGGCGTAAGCGGCCCCAATGTTATATTTTGCCTTCCCGTTGCGCACGTGGAACGACTCGATAGCATAATCGGTTTACGTAGGGTGACGTTCAAAAAACGAGCGTATCATTCCGGCGCGACACCGGCCAAACATTTAAATTCCATACGTATTTTCCTCCAAACGTCGAGCTTTGGACTAATGGTGAAGAGAACGACGTCTTTTTAAAACGTACGCACTGGTCTCTCGATAGGCAACCTGACATTTGACAAAAGGTGGAATGGTAGAAGGCAGAACTTCATTAAAAAGTTTTGATTGCTTTCGCTTCTCCAATTTGCACTTGCTTCTCGCTTGCGAGTTTTGCTTCGTAAAAATTAAACAGAGGCGTAAATTATTGTCCGGAACTAGCGCAAGTTATTTTTTATCCAATAAAAAAAAAAGAAACCTCGGTACTTTTCTCCTAACAAGTAGAGTAACACGAACACCGGCGCCCTTGTCGTTTTCTCACCTTTGTAATATACTCCATTTGTCGCCGCGATTAAGCGACGGGAGAAACTTGTCTTAAAGGGAAGTAGATTTTATCAGAAACGCTCTTATATATATAGCAGTAAGGTGCGTGCATGTAAATGAATATGCGAGAATGAGTGGGAGAGTGCGACGATTGCGACTGTCGAGAAAAATTAGTGAGTCATGTTTCGTGCTGATCGCAAAAATCAGGCACATCCGGAACGTAATGATCGTTCCTGTGTAAAATAAAAATCATACGTTACGCTCGTAAAAACCTTTATCCAGTGTGTATAGATACAAATAATCCCTCATACATGTACAAGGATAAAGATTGATTTTGCTTATCACACTCTAATCGTCGTGTTGTAACAACGATATCTCGTATTGTTTACGTTTCGCATTTGTCCTAAAATAATTCTGCTGCCGGATGAAGTTACAAATTTTATCTCATCCACTGTCTAATGCGTTACAACAATTATCATACAGATATCAGTGATATCGGTGCGATATCAGCGCGATTTCAATTTGAAAGAACATATTTTATATTAAAATTTATTACAGATAATTCTTTTTTACGAGTAGATGCAAGTATAGATTCATTTCTTGTCATTTAAACAAATTCAATAATTAAACTCGACTCGAATTTCAATTTCTCACAATACATTCGTCGGCACATTGAAATCAAAATCCATTGATCGTCGTCCAACGATTTTTAATTTCGCGACACTTTTGGTTTTTACAGCGTCTTAACACAATGTTTCTATGAAAAAGAAACCATAAGTTCAATTAAGACGGTGCTGAAAGCCAATTATTCCGTATCTCTCTAATTCTTTGGATCGTAATTGCTTTCCTACTTTCTCCCTTGCAGCTCACCGATTACGTTTCTTTTCTTTATCAGTTCTTAACGAGCGGTGATCGCTCGTCCGTCGTTCTCGATAGCGTGGCCCGTTTAATTTCGGGCATGAGAGAAAAAATGTTTTCTCTCTTTTTTTTTTTTGCGGAAGATAAAGAGGAAACCTTATGGCGAGGAAGAAAATGAAAAGACGCGTTAAGTGAAGTGAACCATTAGATGGCCGGATGCTAGTTGTACGTTACTCGTTCTTTGAGAGACATAAGTCTTGGTAAAACCGCGCACCGCGGTCTTCCACGCGTAATTCCGACCGTATAACACCGCCTTGTTCGCAGCTTCCAGAGGCAGCCACGTTCAATTGACGGAAAATTGCTCGCGCCTTGCTTTGATGCTCAAATTAGAAACTACCCGGCCGGCCTGCACGACACGCGTCGTCAGCGAGCTGACCATGTGCTTATGCGTGTCTTAATTATGAACTGAAGATAAAAGCATCTCTTTACATTAACAGAGGACAAAGTGACTTTTACACTTGTTAAATGTTGTTTAAATGCTTAAACTAATTACTGCGAGAGTCCTTTGCTACCGAATGGAACTAAAAAATGAAACTGAGCAGCCCTGTTAGAAGAATATTTTATAAGTAAAATTAAAGGTAAGTATTAATTTATGAACTACGAGAAAAATTTTCGGATGCACATTTTTCCATCGTTGATAGATTATTATAAATTAAAGGAGGAAAATAATCCGGCTATTTAAACAATAGTCAGTAGGCAAAATAATTTCTCAGATTTATTCTGATTCGAAAAAATAAAAAAATTTCAATACAATATGTTAACAGTATTTTCTAACAACAACGATAAATTTTATATCTAGAACAACAAAAAGGCAATTTGAACGAGCTTTGAAACCTACTCGTTCCTTCGTTCTTATCTTGACTCTTTTGTCGGATCTTCTGTCGAAACGACGGTGTTATCGAAGCAGAAGTCAGAAGGAAGTTAAATCGACGCGAACGGGAATACGAAAGAAGACCAACGGGAGAGAAGACAGATCTGAGAGGAGGGAGAGAAGATGATCCGAGGGCGCTCGAAAAGGTAGGAGTGGCTGTCGGTCGGTCGCCGGACGATTCTCTCGAATTAATTCTTAGGGGTGGATTTGGGAAAGGGGCTGCCGCCGCCGCCTCTGAGGGGTGTGAGTAGAGCGAGTGGACCGTGAAATAACCAACCCCCGCGCGACACTCGCACCCCCCCGAACGTTTCGAACATCGACAGTGGCGTAACTTCGTTATAGGTTTCTGCGTGCCGCGAAAGATTCTTTTTCTGAGAATTCTCCCTCTCATCTTGCCTTTGCAGTTACAGTCGACGTAAGAAACACTTAATTAATGATAAACACCGCGCTCGTTATGCTTCCAAGTAGCTATATGTTTGGCAAATTTATTTCCTCTGCTTGAACATCGTTACGAAAATTATCTTAATCGGTCTTAATCTACCTATTAATTAACTCTATGTTCAGTTTACAGAAATCTCTTAATTGTTGCTGCAATTATCCTAAAATATTTACGAAATATTGCATACAGCGTTACAGATATATCTTACATGTATAACGTATTAACATTATCATCACGTATTAATTTATCAACTTTCATGTAGCCGTTTATTGCTTCGATATAAATAGCAAGTATCGCTAAATTATACGACAAAAATATAAATCTTCTTTGGAACATTCAACAATATTTTAATTAAAATTCTATTCAAGGTAAAAAAGATTCGAAAAATAACAGTAGAACAAAATCTTTTCATTTCTTCGTACTATGAAGTCTTGTATTTTATGGTTATTCTAGAGAGTATATATTCTAGAGAGTATATATATTTTGGTGAATCGGACGTGTTAATTCGTGCGATATCATCACGCGGTAGAGAAATAATTCTAATCTGAGCCGAGCTCTGCGCTTTCGTGGCACGAACGTTGACGGGTTAAACAGAGTTGTACCGCTCTGTGTTCTCGGATTCGTATGGGATTACTCGCTTGAGGTCGTGACACCGCACGCATCGAGAGCAGCAAGGCACGCCACTGCAGTCAGTTCATTCCAGTTAAGCGTGTAATAGTTCAATAGCTGTCGCAGTCGTGTCTACGAATACTCACTCCTGCGTATCCCCATATGTATAAATGCGTATATTTGTATGAGCGTTTAATCGCGCATTACACCCTGCGGTATTTTTCTATACTTCTCGCCCCTCCTCGTCGCTGTCGAAGCGAGGAAAATATCATCGTGACGGAATTAATTTTGATTTTTTTTTTTTTTTTTTTTTTTTTTTAGACGCTGAATACTCGCGAAACGCGACGATATTTAGTAAATTTTCAGTAAATTAAATTTATAATACATCGTCTTGCGTATGTCAGATTTTTTTCATTTACGCTTCTATTCGTTTTAACATTTCAATGATTCTTTTTTCTAACAATGTTTCATCTTACAAAATGTCTTACAGCATTTTTCTTCTCAAAAGTTTCAAATTTTATAACCACATTTATATACTTCATACTTTTTGTAAAATATAAAAACTATTGAATATCCACATTTTTTTATATCGAATTATTGAATTTGAAGAATCTGGAACAAGTTTTTTTTCTACAAAAATATTTTTTTGTGATAAATATACTTACGCTGATTTTTGTATGTAGTACTTTGAGCGTATGTGTCTGCACGCTTAAGATCTTCCTCCCCCAATTCTCGCGCGACGCTTTCATGCACTTTAGCTTAACCGGGAGATAAAAGCCGCTTCTTACCGGAACGCCTTGATACGCCTCTTTCCATCAAGTATTCGTAGTTAAATCGGATAGCAGGCCTCGTAGACGAACAAAAGCCTCGATGAATCGATCGATCGGCGGTGAGCCGTTATCTTTCACGTCCGCGCTTCTCTCTTTCCTTGTTCAGCTTCTGTCACTTTGTTTTCTGCCATCGTCACTGGAACGTCTCTCGATTATCCGAGGTATCATGGTTACAACGTATGTACGCGCGTCAGGGGAGATCGACGATTATGAGCTCGTCAACTCGCCTTTTCGCGCACCGTTAGTTTCTCATCGGTTCACCTTCACGTCACGCTTGTTACAGCTAAATAGGATTTATAGAGCTAGGCTGGTCTCTCTATATCTTTCAATAATATTTTTTTATTTAAATGCTAATAATATTAATATGCAAAAAAAAAATGTGAAAAAAACTATTAAATTTTTGCTAAGAAAAATTGATT